ATGAGATTATTTAACAAATATCTACCGGTTAATGAATATTATTTACTATACTTAATGTAAAAAAAACATTTAGCCTGGAAATTTCGAAATCGCTTTATTTTTGTTTGAATTTTGTTCTAATGTATCTTGAATTAAGATGTTATCGAAAAATTACCTTCCTCTACGTTTCTGTAACATCGTTTCCTTCGTTTTTTTTCACTTCTATCCTCTATGTGAGAAGAAACGTAGTTCACAATTCTCGGAATATTGTTCAGGTAGTCACGAGTGTAAATGTTACTTATGACGTCATTCAAAGAATTTCTAATTCGAGAAAGACATAATGTAATATCGAAAGTATCGATTATTGATTTGAAAGATTCGTAAATAGTTCGATGATAGTTTCTATCGTTCACAACACTATTTAAAAATATTGTTTCACGATTTTTATCGATTATGTTGAATTTAAATTACGTTTTAAATATTTATTACAAACGAGGATAACTTTATTTAAGCGCGAATGTTCTTGAATTTTAGCAAAATGCTCGAGTTTACGGTGTTGTTGTCGTCATCGCCATTCTCATTATCGTAACTTATGAATTCACGTGTTACGTAAATTCCAGCACGATTTGCGCATCTCTGGCCAATTAGCAAGCGTCATTTTTATCGTATCGCCACGGTTCACGAAAAAGTCATTGACAAAAATTAACCAACGAAATTCTTTTTCCTTACTTTCTAATCGATTAATTTTCTAATAAAAGGATATTAACAAATGTTCAAAAATTCATAAATTTGTATTCACGTCAATTGATGTTTATAAAAAAACTTATTATTAAGTTTATATTTATAAAATTTCAAACGATTTCTTTTCTCTTATATAAAGAAAATCTTACGAAAAATCTTGATTAACCTTCACCAGAATGGAATAAGAATATATATTCATCTTTTATTTAATCTTTTAATCTAAACAAGAATACTTCTAACAATCTTTGAACAAAGGTATTTCAACTAATAACGGTATTATTGTCGCACGAAACATTTAACGAGCGTTTCTTTTTGCGAAACGTCAGCACGATGCGAAAGCAAATCGATTCACGTGACGTTACGCAACACTACGATTATGATAATTTTGAATTAAAGATTCGTAAGATAAAACAAAAATTAAATATATTTATTTTAATTCTATAAAAAATTCATTTCGTTGTTTGCGCTCTCTCTCTCTCACACACTTTCTTTCAAATATTTCATTTTTTTAACCTTACTCGTAGAGGATACATTAAACATTAAGTATAATGTATTATTGTAAATACGATGTGAATTATTTTAATATTTCATTATGTAAAGTATTTTAGAAATTTAAAATAGAGTTGTTAGTTAATGCTTTTAACAAGAAAATTAACGTCAAAACTATTTATACAAAACTATTTTTAACCACAATTAATTTAATTTTTTTTTTTTTTTTTATTTTTTTCAGTTAGTTCCTCAGGTATCGTATTTTCTTTTATTACTTACGTATTCATTGTAGTTTCTTTATAAAGAAAAATTGTTAATGAAAGATAAAATTTTTTGATCGAAAAAAAAGATTCAACGTTGTTTAAAATTTTAAATTAAATTAAAGCTTATACCTATTTCAAACCTATTTCGTGTAACAAAATCTATAACGAATTGAAGATTTAAAAACGTATTCAATATTTCATTCGATAACTAATACCAAGTTAAAGTAGTAGTCGTTACTTAGATAAAAAATGCAAATGAAACAACGATGTCGTTTTATACACATTTCATACACTTGATCCATTTTACTCGTGTGAAATATACGATTTGAAAATCATCACACAAGAAATTATCTGTGAATTATCTGAAGATCGGAAATGAGATTTCAAAGCATAAGATAAGTGGCGTGAATCAGAAGGAAATAAACTGTTTTCTCCAAACAGATTTTATTATTAACCACGTGTCATTTTAAAAAGATCGAAGCGAATCGAATCGAATCGAAATGCACAATTAAAGTAAAATTGTACTGTTGACAATATTACTAATAATAGAATAACACGATAATAATATTATTGGCCGTATATGGGCGTTTTAAGAAGTCTTCGATTGTCCAATCTTTTTGCTTTATCGAGCAGATCGGTCTCGGAACTTTTCCTAGGAGCGGTTGCTTCGAGTTTCCGCGTTCCAGGATCGCACTCAATTCTACGGCAACAGGATGAGAGAATGCTCCGCATACCGACCGTGGCTGCATTCCAAAGTTATTCAACTGCTAACGCAGTTGTTTGTCCCCATTTCGATTCAATCTTTTTTGCATTTCTTTCAAATTTCAAACAAATTATAGATTCAATATAACGATTTCCAATAAACTTGCTTTTCGTTCATTCGAATCTGTGTAAATGTGTATCCTGACGAGTATTTATTTGTCGCGAGAAAATAAGTGCAACAACGTATAAACAAAATTCGAAGGTAAATTTTCTTCGCATTAAAAAGCTTGTCACTTTTTCACGTTGTATTATATATTTTTTAATATCCATTATATTCCATTGTACACGTTATAAAGTATTGGCAATCCAATTAATTTATGATTGTAAATGTATATTTTATCGAATAAATATATTTCGATTTAAACGATTTAAATAATTTAATCTTTATCACTTTATTCTTATTTTTCGATTCGAATATCTTTTTCAATCTTTTCCTTATACTTAACATTTGAAAGAATTATTTTCCTAATGATACACACTACTATTATCAAATAAATCTCAATTGTTCTACATTGACATTTTGCAATAAACGTTGCAAAGATTTACATTTTTTTTATTCCAAGTTGACAAACGAAAGTTTGTTATCGTTTCGATAACTTTGAAAATATTTATTTTTTTACTTCTACATCTTTTTCCTTTTTGTTACAAAATATCAAAAATTCAAAAATTCATCGTGAAACGGATATAATCGACTTTCATAGCCCGGATACGGAAAGGATCGGAGTAGAAAAGCTGAAGTAGAACGTGTCGACAAAAGCAGCTGACACAAATTTCGATTACGTTGCAATCCTACGTGAGAATCCCTGTGTATTAAAAGAAAAAAAAAAACGATCGAAATCTCATGATGATCAAGGAGCGATCCGATGAATAGAAACAGCATCATTTATACGAGGAAACAAACGTGCACGAGACGGTTTTAAATAACGTCAGCGTAAAAATTAGAATTACCTACCGAGTGACGTATACTTTATTGAAACAAGTGTTCTGCTAAATCTGGCGCGTCACGATAATAAGTCGAGTAAATTGGTGCGGACGTTTGTACATATACTTCAAACACACGTGTTATAGGTAATATGTAATATTCCGAGTGAAACGAGACTTTATCTTTATAATACGTTCGTATAAATTCGTGACAAAGAGATCGTTTTGCGAAAAAATTGAATATAATCGAGAAGTGAGCAAAATTTGTTAAATATACTTATCTGAATAGCATATATCACAGAAGATTTAGCCACGTGAGAGCATAAGATCCGATTAATGATGTGAAGCTGAAATTTTGTATTCCATTTTGATTTGTCTAATTATTAAAACTAACAATTAGATATACAATTGTGTAACAAATATATAGTCGAGTCGACTTGATCACGTGAAACGAGGATACGAACACAATGGTAAATAAATGAACATAACCGCGTAAAATTGTTTTCGAACATGGTGCACTTGAAACCGGCAAGTGGGCCACTGTCATTCCCTTTGAACGATTTACAAAGAGGAAGTCGCGAACGGATATAGTGTCTCCATCTCTGACACGAATAGCACGTTGACTGCGAAGTTGACGTTACGAAGTACTGGAAAGAACTGGCCAACCAGAAGCCAACGAAACAAGATTCCTGCTATTTCTTCCTCCTCTTGAGGCTGCCGTTGCCTTGTCTTACCTTGCTTTGCCCAGCCTTGTCTTGCCTCGCCTCACTTTGTCTTCTTTCCTTCGCCTCGTCTTGTCTTATCTTGCATTGTCTTGCCTTATTGTGCCCACAACGTCATCATACGCGATCATCGTCGTGGTTCGTCATCTAACTTTGTGCAACATCTGACGTCATTCGACCTGTCGAGTCGACAGGGTCAAACAGCGTCACCAATGAGAACATTATCCACATTATAGTAATATTATCGAAAAATTTAGATATCGAACAAGTCAAAATTATCGTTAGTTATCGTTACAAATATCATAAATATAATTTATAATAAGATTATTAAATATTTATATTATATAATTATATAATTATAGAGTTAAATGCATAAAATTAATAAGGATCACGATATCACGATATCACGATATTTGTTTATTAAAAAAAAAAAAAACTTACAATATATTTTCTATTGTGTATCTTCTTTTCCATAATATATATTCTTATTGTAATAGGAAATCAAAATTTTGTAAAACGCAATTTTAAAATGTAAATAATATTAAAAACCATTTCTTATAATAACAACAAATTTGATAATGATTCGTAAATATTACATAAATATTAAAAAAAAATATTATTGTTATTCTAATTTAAAATATTGTTTGTTGAACTATTTGAATGTTTTGCATCTCAATATTTATGAGTGAAAAGTTATTTAATTTCAACTTATGATATATTGAAATAAAGCATAAATAAATCAGATATAAGAAATGATTAGATTAATATGTTGATAAGATATTATATAATTATGAATATAGATCTATACAGAAGAATTAATTAAAAGTATATATCGTATCAAGTTTTCAATTGCAATGAATTTTTTAATTTATATACAAGTTCAATCTATATATAAAATATATATTTAAAATTAAATTTAAAGTATAGCGAAAAGATCGTTATAGAAAATATTTAAGAATTCTAAAAATGAAAGAATGTCTCAAAAAACGAATAATCACAATAATATTAATGTTAGATATAATAAGAAAGAAAATATCTTAATAATACTAGAAAAAGATTCGTAAATTTACAATAATATAAACAATGAAAGAATAATGACATAAAGAAATATTTGCAAACATGTGCGGATCGAAAAATAGAATTGTATACGGGATTCGTTATCGATCCGATTCTGTCCGGTTATCCGACTATTCCGGAGCATTCGTATCTCGTATCAAGATGTGTCACGGTTGGTCATGGTATTCCGGTCGACGTTGGTAGCACTGCTAGGTCGGTTAACCTGGCCCAGAAACTAAGCCGGAACTGTTCGAGGAATCAATGACCTTGGCACGAGTAATGCCAGGACATGCGATCGTTTGCGAGGAAGAAAGTCCATTCGCATTTGTTGTGCTATGGAGCGGAGTCAAAAATTTCACACTCGTAACTAGGACTTTTTATTCGAAACATGAAACGATATGAAAGTGGAGAGATTGAGATGAAATACAGTGATAAAATTTAAAGTACGTATTCAAAGTTGATATAAATTGAATGTTTGATTAAATTTGTTATGCGTTATATGATTAATTCTTTCGAAATAATTTAAGCAAGAAAAAAGAAAAAAATTAAGAAATTTTTTAAAAAAATTTTTTTTAAAACTTTTTATAAAATTATACGTAAAAATGAAAAAACAAATTAATAAAAAAAACTTCTAAATAAACGATTTTTATTATTCTTATTATTCCAATGAAATATAAGTATTGTAAAATAAAGAAACGAAATTTATTTTATCAAATTATTAATATTAATCTTATATTTCATATTTGTTTGATATGCATGTAATTTATATAATAGAATATTTTATGTTATAACACAATTATGTTTAAAATCAAGCTATTTAGATGCTAAAGAAATTGTTCACTTGTAACAATGCTGTAAATATTAATATCGCGTTCAAATTCTATCTCAATTTTTCTTCGTGAAAATAGTTACGAATCATGATAAGAATTTTAATTTTGACATCAAATATTAAACAACAAAAGGATAGTAAATATACAAAACTATAAAAATGAATTTAATTCTTTGAAAATTAAGAAATTATTTATTCTGTATTCTAATATTCTATTTGTTATAAATTTTATAATGTTTTAGAATAAATACGATTTTAAATACATTGAATTATATATTATGTGATTTGTATTTTTTTTTATAATATTTGTGATAGATATATTTTAAACTATTTTTTTCTTTTAACAATTACAATTAAATTTCTTTTAAATAAATTAATAATAAATAAGTGCTTTTTTTAAATCTTAATTTTATTCAATATTATATCTTATTTTAATAAAATATATATTTCAGATTAATATCAATTTAAATTGAAACAATTTTTTAACAATTTATAAGAAAAATTATCATTAAATAAGATATACGATAATAATAAATATTTTACATTAATCTTTATAACAAAATTCGCAGAGAAAAATATTTCGCTGATGAAAATTGAAAAAGATTGATATTTATAATGCACATATCTAATTGTCGTTTACTGTTTTATAATATTTTTTATTCAAAATAACACACGCTTTTCCCTAAGGATAAATCGTGTGATCAAACATAACCAAAAGTTATGTGATCAAATATAAACAATATAGAATAAGAATAAGAATTATATAAAATCAGCAATAAAAAATTAATTTTACTTATTGAAATAATTATTCATAACGTTGGATTATTATGGCAAAAGTTTGTTGCATATGTGAAAAAACAGAATGTTTATATAAGTGTCCTGTGTGTAAAGAACCGTAGTAAGTATCTATTTTTAGAGGTTATTTTTATAATTATCACATTTAAGATTTAAGTTATAAATTTTGACATATAATAAGTTTTAACAATATGAATAAATATATTGAAATGTCGTTATTGAAATTAAATAATTTTTATCAATAACAAATATATAACTAAATATTGCATAATTTAAAAACACAATATAGTACAATTTATTCATATGATACATAAACAATAATCTGTTATAAATATTATTTTATTTTTTAATTATTTATTTTATTTATTCCATTTTAATGTTTTTTCAAATCATTTTACTCATGCAATATATTTATGTTATAATTATATTATAATATAAATATATAATTATAATAATATAATATTATAAGAAATTCTTTTAATTAAGCATTAAGATACTATAAAAATAGAAAAATAATGAAATATAATTTTATTAATTATTGTATTAATTATTATTATGTGTATTAGTTGTTCCGTAGGTTGCTGTAAGAAGCATAAAGAAAATAATTGTCAACCGTTCCAGATTCAGGAAAATAAAGTTACAGAAGATATAAAAGATAGCGAGAATGAATATGAATTTCCAACAGAGGATACAGTTTCGGTTGAAAAATTGAAACAGTTGCGTCATAGTAAAGAATTAATAGAATGCTTAAAAAATCCACATGTTCGAAATATAATGCGTGGTATTTTAATTGACAAGAATCCAACAAAAGCCATTGCTTTAGCTATGACTGAACCAATATTCGTAGAAATGGCAGATGCATGTTTAAAAGTTGTTGAACCTCAAATTAGTGACGATGAATCACGTTAATGTACATAGATCTATGTTATATTAGATTAAATGTTATTATATATACATAAATTATACAATAAATGTATTTATATAAATATGTAATGACACATATATAATGAAATATTTATCTTTTTTTCATTTTATTTATAAATTATAATATAATTTTTTTAATTTAATTGATAAAATTTTAAAATTGTTATAAAAACAAGCGAAATAAAGATGAAATTTTTTTTATAAAACATTTATTAAAAATTTAAGGTAATTTATATAAATATAAAAATACATTGATAATTTATATACATTTTAGTATCGACATTAAAAATAGCAATATTTCCATAAAAATAAAAATTGCATATTAAAAGAGAAAAAAAAACAAAAAGCATACAATTTTTTTTACAATATTTATCTATAAACAAATAACAATAAGTTTTTCTTGAAAAAATAGTTGAAACAAAAGTAGCAAAATATTAAAATATTTTATTATAGCTTTCTTGAATGAAAAGAATAATGAAGAGAAATATAATCTTCGAGATCCGTTGGTATTTCTGTACCATCCAATTCTTTTTGAAGAGAATAATATCTTTTTCGAAGATGATAAGCCGCCATTTTTGGTTGTCTATCTCTTGTGAATACACCTTTTTTATTACCACCTACTCTGATATATGCTATAAATATAAATTATTAATATAATTATTATACTCGATTATTTTTATTTTGCCGATATTTATAATTTTTGTTGCTTACTTTGAGCTGTTCGAAAATCAGCAAAATTCCAAATAAATTCACCAATAAAAAATCCCTCATTTCTCAATTGATCAAATGCTACAAAATGTCTAGATAATACATTTTTCTGATATTCTTCGCTCCATATATATTCAGGCAACTAAAAATATTTTAAAAATAAATTAAAATTTCAGTTTACATGTCATTTTCGATGTATAATTTAACTCGTATAAATTTACTATATAGATTATGCAGATTTTAAACTATAATATAAAATTATAAAATTTAATTGTTCTTCATTTTATTATATTTTACTTATGCATATTTACTTATACATATTTACTTATAATTACACGATATCTTACTTCGTGTAATCCAGGCATAGTATCAGCTCCATACTCGGTCATAAGAACAGGCTTGTTATATTTTCTATGCCATGCTTCAGCTTCGGCTATAACTCGATTTGTTATTGAATCGAGACGGCCTGGATTATGGTACCAAGCGTTATAACGATTAAAACTAATTACATCAAGATATTCACCAGCTTTATCTTCCTACAAAATAATACAATTTTTATTAGAAAATTTTTTTCGATCGATGCTCGGAGATCGGAATTGGGAAATAATCACTTTTCGATACAATCGTTGATTTTAACTATTAATAATTGACAAAATAATAAATTGTTACTTCGAAATGTGAAAAAAAGCAAAGTAGCAATAATTCATATAACCTATAAATGATTCATTTATGCAAGTAACCTGAACTGTTCGAGCCATGGCAATGGTAATTGGCCTGGTAGGATCGAGCGCTTTCGTATGATGAGCAACTTGTTTAAAGTATTCGCCAGCTTCTGGAAGTTGAGTCCTCGGTTCATTAGCGATTGACCACATGATTACCGAAGGCCGATTCTTATCTCTCCTTATAAGCTCCGATAATGAATCTTTGTGACGGGAAAGAAGCATCGGTGAAAAATTCTCGGTATCCACCGAAGGACATTCGTCGATAATGAGAAAACCTAACCTTTGAAAAAGAGATAAAACAAGAGATACGTTACGGTTCGAAGATCGAGTCAACAAGTGTAATTTCAATCTTTTTCAATCAAAAATTTCAAAAATTCATTCTAATCATTTTCAATCTTTAACATATATCAAGATCGATGAAATTAATAATAATTACCGATCCGCCAAATCGAGTATTTCGTCGCTGTAAGGATAATGACTAGTTCTGTAAGCATTAGCACCGATCCATTGAAGCAACTCGTGGTCCCTGGCAACGGTGACTAAATCCAGACCCCGTCCTCTTAATATCGAGTCCTCGTGTTTACCGAACCCTCGCATGTACACAGGTTTATCGTTAAGTAACAAACTCGTATTTGTCCATGTCAATGTCCTTATACCAATTGGAAGTCTGTAGACGTCCATCTTGGTGTCATTTACCACCGATAATGTAACCTTGGAATTATAACTTATTATGTACATCATTATGATTTTCACAATGATCGATCGAGATTTAACGTTTTCATCGTGTAGAAAAGAAAAGAATCTGGAATATTATATCTCCCTTTGAAGGAGATCAACACGAGATAGATTGTCTTAAGATTAAAAGAAAATAGATATTTCGATTATTCTTTTGAAAGAAAAAAAAAAAATATTTTCCCGAAGCAACCATATATATTTTTTTCTCAAATTTATTTTTAATTGTGAAAAAGTGGGAGGAAATGGAAGAGAAAATAGAATGATACATACTTTTAACGTGTAAAGATATCCAGGATTAGAACTCATACCCCTAGGCCACCAAAGATTAGGAAATGGTACTTTCAGAGTGCCGGAAAATCCGTAAATAGGCTCTTGCACGGCTAAATTATCCTTGGCATCGAGTAAGCTTACTCTACAGATAGGGATTTCATGCTCGTACAAACCTGCTGGCTCAATTATATACTTTACGATACCGACATCACCGATTAGTCCCGTCCTTACGCTTATATCTTCAATATAGACGCGCGGTTTCGTATATAACAAAACGGGCCTGAAATTTAAAAAGGTTACATTAGCATTTTTATCTTATCTAATATATCTGGTCGCGTGAAAGCTGGTGAAGTCATTCGCGTATCCTTTTCATTGTAAGTAAATTATTCCGTTTTAGGCGACTTCTTTTTTTTTTTTTTTTTTTTTTTTCTTAAATAACATTGTTAAATAATTTACACGGATCAACCAGTAATTTGAATATTAAAAAAAAAAAATCAATTATAATCAATTATAAAATCAATAAATTCAAATTTATTAATATTTCAACATGAATAATATTTATATTTCAAGAATCAAATTCTTTCTATGCAGATAATTTACTTTCATTTCACAATATAGTTATAATAATTATTATTATAATTTCAACATTAACAATTTATATTATTATAGATTTATTTTTATTAAAAAATCATAATATTGAAATTATTTGAACAATTATTCCAATTATTGTTCTTTTAATTATTTGTTTCCCATCGTTAAAAATTTTGTATTTAATTGATGAAATTATTAATCCATTTTTTTTCAATCAAATCAATTGGTCATCAATGATATTGATCATATTGAGTATCCTGAATTTAATAATATTGAATTTGATTCTTATATATTAAATTATAGAAATTTAAATCAATTTCGATTATTAGAAACTGATAATTATTCCAATAAGAATTCCATTACTTCCTTAACAATTAATTACTTCCTCAACAAATCGACGAATTACAATTGGAACATAAGAATGTTCGATATTCGATGTAAAAAAAAAAAAAAAAAAANNAAAAAAAAAAAAAAAAAAAAAAGAAAAAAAAATGAATATTCTCACCTGTGTATGCCAGCATAGTTGAAAAAGTCAAAAGTGTAAGTTTGCTGGTGTATAGTTCCATTATCGACAGCAGTTTCGACAATTTTTCCTTGCGGGACACTTGTTTGAAGCAAAGTATTATCAACTGCAACTGTTATGCGATTTTTACCGCCGTAAATCAAATACGAAGATATCTCGGCTTCGAATGGAAGATGACCGATTTCATGGTTAGTTACAAAGTCATTGTTTATCCACTATAACGTGAAAGGGAGTACTTATGTGTAAAGAGAAACATTTAAACGATCTTAATTTTCTTCTTTCTAATATTAGCTCAACATCATCATAAACGATGAGAGTGAATTGCTTCTATTCTTGATATACCCGTTGATCAATCTAATTCAAAGATTTTATTCACTTCACTTTTTGAAGAATGCCATTTTGACGACAAATGATGAAAGTAAACGAAAGTGTTAATTGCCAATCTCGATGATGAAATTTTCGAGGAAATAATGTATTGTATATCACTTTATCTTTACCTCTGTGCGAAAAATCCTGCTTAAAATTCAATGGTGATGTAATTTTTTTTTTGGAAATTTAAACAATATTTTACAGATATATAATAAAATATATATATATATATTGAACATGCATATTAATAATTGGTAAAAAAAAATCACGATGAAAGACAAATGATTGGAAAGGCAAGATGTTTATTAAATATAAAATAATTACCACTTGTGCGAGATAATGCACGGAGCCAAATCTGACAAAGACCCTTTGCTCTCGCCAAGAGGAAGGCACGAAGAAGGTTCGTTGATACCAAACAGCGCCTAAGTGATCCCTCAATTCGCTGGATGTTGTGATGTCATTATACGACGAGGGAACGGGCATTTGCATCACTTTTCCCACCTATAAGACGAGAAGTGGTCCATATTAGTGAATCCTTGTGTTGACAACGCGTAATTTTATGAAAATTAATATTTACGAAACTTCAAGTTCCATATCTTTGTGCAACTTTGATAAGTGGGATATGAAATCATTTATATTATGTGATAACACTTTAAATTCATTTCGAATCGTAAAGCGAAATTACGCGATTCGATCGAAAAATCTACGATTGATTGCCAATTCAATTCTTCAAACTTTAATCAGTTCCATGATTATAATTATGAGAGCGTTTATATTAATATTAATATCGCCATTTTAATTATCGCTTTATGAATTATTCAAATCGATAAAAAAATACGAGGTTAGGTTAAGCATTTTCATTAGCAATAATTGGGATTAATATGATCAATTTTACAATACCTTTGATAATTCATCTGCAAACCATGCTTCTTTATAACCCTTAAGAGTATCTCCCGATGGAGAAATCACAAAATCCCACATACCATCCAATGATTTCACCTTAATGAAAAGTTAATTCATTAATTTAATAATTAAATAAATTTTGAAAATTTTTAAATTCAAATCAATTTCACATTCGTCTTTATTTAGTGAGATAAAATTTAATTTTGAAAAAGAGAATTTTTTTTTCATGTTTTAAAATATAACATACGTACGTTATCTGTTTTGTTTGAATAATTAAGATTG